GGGGTCTTCTAATATAGGGGGGTCTTCTAATATAGGGGGGTCTTCTAATGTGTCGATGGCTTTACACGATTGTTATGTGACTCTTAAACCAGTATTCTATACTACATTAAAATCCAGTTAGTAGATGACGGACGAGTGGCGTCCGTGTAACAGTTACCCACCCTGTGCCTAAAAGCTCTTGAAAACCTACGACGACTAATATTAGATATTTCTTGAACAGTTAGCGGTACTCAACATTCCTTTACGGAAGAGCCCTTGAAGAGGAAGCAGAACTACTATAAGACAGTATTTGAAAATGTAACTGTACCAAACATCGATTGGCCATCTAGACTAATGGGTACTACTATAGGATAGGCCATGAGGACTTCCGGGTACCACTATAGAATAAGGCATGAGGACTTATGGCTACCACCATAGGATAGGTCATGAGGACTTATGAGTTCTTCTATAGCATAGGCCATACAGACTTATTGGTACCATTATAGGATAGACCATAAGGATTTATGGGTACTCCATAGGTTAGGGGATGAGGACTCACGGATACTACCATAAGATAGACCGAACAGACGTATTCGTACCACTATAGGATAGACCATGGGCATTTATGGGTGCCTCATACGACGGGTGATCAGAAATTATAGGTACCCCGTAGGATAGGCCATGCGGACTGATGGGTACTTCCATAGGATAGTTTTTGAGGACCTATTGATTCGATCGTATGGTAGGCCTTCAGGGGCATCAAGTACATACCCTGAGTAGCTGTAGGAAGCTATGAGGTAGCTCATATGAAAAGAAGTGGTGATGGTAGGTTGAAATTAATCTAATATCAAACAAAAAAGCTGAGGAAAACCTTAAAAACTCAAAACAGCCCGAAAAAATCGGAATATCCAAGAAAATCTGAAAATCCAAAAAACCCAAAGAAATCTAAAAAAATCCAACGAAATCCGAAAGAATCCCAAAATCCCAAATCTGCTTTTTCCCCCTTGATTTTTTTAGATTTTACAAAATTAGTCTCAGTTGTAAACTATCGTTTCTCATAGAGCTCTTGATATTTCAGTTTTTTCGGGATGATTTTGCATCCCGAATAGTAAATAGAATCTGTATAAAAAGTCTCAGTTTGATTAGACATACCAGAACTCAGTGAAACGCGGGACAAATACAATTTTGTTCACTTCTACGAAGGAACGAGACTGAAAAATAGGAAGTACATGGAGTAGAATGAAACAGGATGGGACTAGAATTTTCTTCGCCCCATCTAGACTGTTTCCTTCCCTTTGAGCTAACAAACAATAGTTTTTCGTAACTCCTCGTCAAGAACATTTCATCTATGGGAAACATAATTAACTCAACCATTGTTCATCGAAAAGATTCTGTTACGCTAATAAAACAGTTCGAAACAATTCTTGAGAAATAGGCAGGTCGGGACGCGGCTGAAAAATGGAAAGTAGCGCGGAGTAGAGTAGAAAGTGAGGCGTGAAATGAGACGAGACACAGGGCACGAGACCGATTTTTATCGTTCTGCAGAACTCTGGGAACTACCATGTTGGAGAAAATGACGGAAATAGTGGTCATTTTGACTCATTGGAGCTATAATATCTGCTTGAAGGAAATAATCAGTTGATTAAAGCCTATGATAACTTTTCATGTATTAATTGATATCAAGTTGGTCTGAAAAATGTAATTTTCTGCCAGCCGTTCCCCGAAAGTGAGAGAAAGAAGCGAGATAGTCTTGAAGAAAAAACAGGCAATTTGAATGATGAGATATGGTATACCGGGTTGAAATTATGTTAATATACAACAAAAAAACCTGAGGAAATGCGAGAAAACTCGAAAAATTCAAAGAAACTTAAAAATCCCTAAATTCGCTATTCCCTCTTGGAATATGATTAATTATTTTTTTTAGCATATACGATTCTTAACCTTTCTTGAGATAGCCATACCTAAGGAGACTCAATACATGACAGCGAAAGCTGACGAAAATCCTAGCATGAATGAACACAAAAAATAGAAGACATTGAGCGTTTTGCAACCTCTTTTTACATACACTTTGACGAGAGGACTGGTCAAAAGTCTTCAAGAATGCCACTGCTTTGAATGAGAGTGGACGATTGATTTAATCAAGGTCAATTGTTATATTCTTTTCTTGCGCGTTTATTCGAATGAATCCAAAAAAACAAAACAACAAAAAAAGAAGCAAAGAAGCAAAGAATGTTGTTCTCTCTTTCTCTCTTCTTCCATAATATACCTCCTTGTTTATTTTTCGAAACAAAGAGATATCATGGAGCAACGAAAAGGAATGCCATTGTCGACAGGTGTAATGTTACAGAGAGAGCCCTCTTATGTCAGGAGATGTCTCTCCTGACATAACACCTCCGCCACCGAGAAAAGATAGAGAGTACAACAAAAGAGACAAGTTCAAAACAAAAGTGAACCTTATACAAAAAAATAGGACCGAGAGAAAATAAAGAAAAAGAGAAAAACAATACGAATTGCGAATGAACTGGACGCAGAATATTAAAGAATGAGCTGTAGAAAAGAAAGTTATGAATGCGTAGTGATGAAGAGGAAATAGAAAGAATTAAGAAAGACCAAGACTGCAGATGAGAATAAAGAAGTGTTTATGATACGATTGGAGTTGGTGGAGCGAGTGGAGATGTTGTTAATTTACGGGTTGGTGAAAGTAATAACGATGTGTATTGTTGTAATGGTTGATGTACTGACGAATTAGATATATGAGAATACGGTGGTGGATAAGCTGGTGTCATGGAAGGGACGTGTGTGTGAGCACGTTGTGATGCGTGTTCTTGTTGTTCAGCCAGTTTCAGTATTGTGCGACATCGTTTATAAGCATAAAAAAGAAAAATGATAAGTACTAAAGCCCCCACGATCATTAATAACAAGAACGCATAATGGGTCCAGTTGTTGCTATCAAAACGTTGATCACAAGAGACTACCGATTTGCTATCAAGGAAACCATCGATTGAATGGAACGTGATGAACCAGAGATAAATGAATAAGAAAGCCATAGTAGCCGAGAAGGACGTAGTCGGTACGTTTAAGACGATAGTGAATTGTGTATAAAGTGTATATGGAAAGATAAAAGAAAAAATGGAATGCAGCGATGAAATAAATATAATGATAAAATTTTGCGAATATTAACGATGATAAAATTCAGATGTAGAGACTATGTAAATGTAAATATGAAAAGTAACATGTGAATATGTGATGATTCCGGTGATGCGGAATTGTAGAAGAGGAATGTTATGAGGGTACGAGTTGCTCCCGAGAATAAACACGCTTAAGAGTGTTTGAATGGACCTGAAATCGTTGAAAATTGTCATCTTCAACAAGAAATGACACCGGTGAAAGAACTTGAATAATTCGTACAGGACCTGTATATCGAGCATCGAGTTTATTGCGTCCCATAAAGATTTTCATCCAGACAAGATCACCTGGAACAAAATACGGGTGCGATCGATTTTTATCAAAACGAGTTTTGGATACTTGCTGTTGATGTAAAATATTTTGTTTAGCTTGTTTTAAGGCGAGATTGCGATATTTGAGCAGTTGCATCCAATAATCATGTGGTTTGTTGAAAACAAATGTAGAATCAGGTGGAGTAAAAGGATGGCGTGGCTGTCGACCAAATGCCAGTTGACAAGGTGTAAATCCCGTAGAATTGTGTATACCATTATTGTACGCATAAACTATACACGGTAAAAATATGTCCCAATTGTTTTGGTCAATATTACAAAATTTGGCGAGTTGAGTGACAAATGTGGAGTT